TGGCGGAGTGATCGTGGACGAAATACCCCTCTGGACAGTTCGCAGGTGTCTGACGAAGAACCCCGATCAGACAGGCATTTTGTATAGCGCTGATATGCTGCGAGGGGGTGTACGTTCCGGCTGTTAATTGGCTCGCCTCGGTTAACGCGGCGCTGACGCTCGGTGTGCTTACGTGACGCGCGCCATGTTGTCTATGTGACTCGCGTCCCGTATTTGACTGAGGTACAATTTTCGGCTTCACCCGACGGAGTGCTAGCATCGGCACAGAGTGGATTTTCACACCCTCTTTTCTAATTTAATTCATAGGTTGCCTGTGAATTTCAATGGCGTGAGTTGCTACACAGTCACACACAGGCATATTCAGGAATGTGAGGAATAGTTTCACCAATGAATGAGCCTTGCCGGGGCACCCCCTTCCCCGCTCGGACGCAGCCCTGCGTCCCCCGGCGCACACAGAGTGGCGGAATGAAAGCCCTGCTGGATTGCTTCGTCGTGCGCTTGGGGTCCGCGGAGGCCCCCGTGGCGCCTGCGTCTGCGCCGCTTCATGTGCGGACGAGGTTGGAGGGGCAGACAGCTGCGACGGGTTCTGCCCCCTCCGACCCTCGACCTCCTCTCCCCCTTGTACCCTCGCATCATCTCCTTTGTTTCCGCTCTGCCATTCCATCGCCTGCGCTGCTGCCTCAAGTTGTGACCAAAGAAAGAAAACGTGACCAAGGCCGTAAATGGTTGTCAATTCAAATATGAAATGTGTGTGTGTGTATGTGTGTGTGTGTGTGTGTGTGTGTGTGTGTGTAAACCTTTTCAGGTTGCAAAATCATGTATTAAATTTTCTAAAAAAGAACTACAAAGAACAAAAATGCTACACTGGAAAGTTGGGAAGATTTCCGCAGGAAGGAAGTTCGTGGATTTCCGCAGATAAACACGTTTTATTTGAAAGAAAATCTGTGAATTAAAAAGCTAAATTCGCATTATAAGTATTACCCTTACAGTTATGAAACCTTTTACACAGTTCCCTCTATATATTTTACTAAGGTATCATATATGTCTTGTAGCATGTTCTTAACAAATAATCAACATTCCAAAACTAAAAACGTGTTATTTGAAAGACGACTAACATTAAAGCTGATATCGACTTTCAATCCTGACTTAGTATAATAAACTTTCACGCGGTCCCGCACCGACAAAACACCAATGATTGGTGAAGTCTCGTCCATATTCCCTCAGACTGAGGCTGGCATGAACGGAACTGAGAATTGCTGGGCGAATTCTCAGGAGACACGTCGGAGAGGAGAGTTTCTCGGAAAGTCAATTTCATTTATGTCAAAGCGATTGGATACCTTAGAGGGTGGACGGGATTTACGAATATTGTAAGGACAGGAATTTCAAATAACTATATCGAAATTTCGGTTTATCACGCAAGATTTCGGGTGTAGCGTAAGGTTCTGTTTCGCGCATTGATTTACTTTGAGCGTACCGAGCTTTCTGCCATGCATCTTTGTTGTGTATGGTCGAACCTTTGGCATTTAAAACAGCACAAAGGATTTGGACATACTGTTGTACACGGAGATTGTGAAAACTGCAAGAAATGATTTTCTGGTAGGGATGGGAGACTGAACATCAAGATCAGAGTAGGAGCGAGAATGTCTCCCGTGCTCCTTCTTGTTCATCCTTAACATCTCAATGACGCGTGGCATTTAATGGGAAAGAGAAAGCACAAGGTTATGGGTAGTACGAGTGGTAACTTCCATCTACAGGCTGTTTTCAATATTATTTCGAGTTTTTCAACGTGTGCGCTGCAGAGAGAGAATGGGACAATTTCTTTGTCGCACAACCGCTTCGAGCTTCCTGAACGAGTCTTCTATGATTCCGACGAATAGTTTCCGAGATATACGAGAAACAAAAGCAACCTCAATTGTGCAAAATACAAAACGACCCCTCCCCTTACGTGCCAAATTTCGAAAAATATTAATTTCAGCACTGCTAACTCTAATTTTGTATACAAGTAAAACACATTAAAAGAAATTGATTGGTGCAAAGCAAACTCCATCTTGTTGCTTCTGTTCCCTTCTTCGGCCCATGCCATTAAGATAAAACGCTGTTTCTTCGATCCATCCTCTTCTCGAAGGAAGAACCTAATCATTTCAATAGTTCAGTCAAAACCTCTCTTCCTTGCGGAAGAGGATAAGGAAAGAATTCAGATTGCATATAACGAACGTAGTTTCGCCTCCGTGCTCCCTATCCACCTTGGAGTCCGACAAGGGGTCTCCCCACCGAGCTGCATGGGTTGACGTGGAATTGTAGTGGGGGATGACCCAGCGTGGCTCCCAGAGCTCACCCTGGAGATTAAAGACCTAATCCGAGCCGATTGATCTGAAGTGGGTTAGAACCAGACTGCCCGTCGTCCCGATCGCCCGTTTAGGATCCGACAATGAGTCGAAGTTTCCAAAATCCATCCAACCGCAAGAGGATGCAGGGGGGCTGAATGGGAAACGGCAGAATAACGACAATGCTTCTCTTACAAAAAGGCATTTCCCTAGTATGAAATAACAAAAAATATTAATTTTAAAAGCAAAATAGTGTTATATGTAGTGTGATTATCTGATAAATAATTTGTATGAGTAAAGTTTATTAGGGTGAATTAAGATTGAGTTAGCAGAAATATTTATTCCACTTTCGTAGCAAACGTGCGTTAGAAAAACGAAAAGGTAAATATTCCAAGTGCTTATTCATATTAGTATTAAATACATACAGAATATAGTTATTTCCTTTTAACTGCTTAAACGAATGTTTTCTTTGTTTTTATCACTATTACAACATGAAAATAACATACTCAATATATGTGTAAGAAATATTGTACTTTTGCGTGAATGGACATCATCCCTATCATGTGTTTCGCGTAGTTTCCCTTGAACATTTGATCAAACACTGAGATGTCCCATGTTTTCGTTTTTTACTGTAAATGTAATTTCCCTAAGCGCACGTTTTGTCGAGCTCGTTTTGCTAGTTGCGGGAGGAGTATGGTTAATAGGGTTTATTATTTTATCAACAAAACAAAATAATCAAATCTGCAGTTCATTTGCCGTTACAAATACATAATCTATTACTTGGAACCGAAAATGTCTTTTCAAATGTTAATGTGCATGTAAGTGCATTTCATAATTTAATGATGTATATTGAAAGAATGGGTTAAGGATTCTGGAGTGCAAGATACCGTAGCGGAATTATACTTCTTTCCTACACGTCACATACAATTATTACAGTTGCAGGGGCGAATTTTGATGACCTAAAACATTGCAAAAAAATGATCAATAAAATGCTCTTAAATGTTTTTTAAAATGCCCTAAAAGCAAAGAAAATCTACAAAAACTTATATCAAAATCAGTTTGGATGAACAACTCAAGCTGTTGGATACGTTACTGATGTAATCGAGACTTTTATTCGTTCAAATGAAGTCAGCTTTCAAACTTTTAGTTTGGACTGTTCTTGACCAGGGAATGTCTTTAGTTATCCCGAAATTGGTTGAATTGCCAATGTCGCTGACAGGCGTCACAGGAACCTTAGATTACATACATACAATGACTGACATTACAATTTCTGTGCGAATAAATCGAATAGGTTTAGGTAAGTAGATAGATAGGTATCTGGTAGATAGATACCGGGTATCGGTACTCAGGAATTCTGTGAAGAATATTTCTTGCAATAGAGATGTAATATTAGCAGCTTCCACTGCAATACTCAAACCAACCGGAATACCGCATGACCTCTAGACGAAACAAAAGATCGATCGTTATCCTAGTTATCGAACCTGGAATTTCAACGTACGATTAATCCTCAACGCACGCTCTATCCACGATATTAATGCTTTTTCGTCATACCATGTAAGGAGAGAAAGTAAAATAGATCGTTACTATCGAGCTACTGACATATATCTTACCAGCTGTGTTTGCTAAATGCTGGAGAACATGGTAAGCCAGCGTTTGTTCTGAACCTCGGAGATCAGAAATCTACTTCCCCTAAACTAATGCGTTTCAGAAGTCGTCGTCTTGTGTCATTTTATTGCATTGGCAACATAAGTATTCGCCGTTCGTCTTGAGCCAGCATAAGTTTTTTTTTTATAATATTAGTATTATTATTAGTATTACTTTTTATGATTGTTGCATCTTTGTTTAATAGATTTTATACGGTCATTTAGTATTAAATTTAAATAATATGTGATTATCAACATGATTATTGCATCTTCAATGGACTTTTTTGAGTTTTATTACCGTTTTACATTATCCGGCAAGGCGCCAACAAAAATTGCTGTTGATGCGTCCTTTATACAGCAATCAATCCGCCATCCAGACTGTATTGTTGGTTCAGCTGCGATTAAATGCGACGTTACCTCTAACGACAAACCGTAATCATCGATTAAACAAGGAAGCTGCACATTTAGAATATTCATATTTAGGAAATCTGTTCTCTATAGTGACTATAGCGACTGATTGTAATGAAGTCACTACACTTGAGCTCGCCTTTCATACTTGCATTTCAGTACATTTGTTTCGTTTCTCGTAGCTACGCTTTTCGTGGATCGTATTATACTTCTTATGAATAGGTGGATCTTGCAATTTCATCGCACCGTAAAGAAATTAGTGTTCAGAGAAACGAATAGATTTTTGTCTGTAGAATTTTTATCAAAACGAGCTGGTGAATGTTGTGATAATTATCCGTGGACGAAATGTGAATGTTTCCAGGTGTTAAAGCGCCGGAAGAAGCAACAGAAAAAGGCGTATTCAATAGAAAACATATTTATGAAGCAGATTGGCAAAAGGCTACATTCTACTGTGTTACTGTGAAAAACTTGGTGCCTTATTGGTACTAAATCATTGTATTTCAATCTTTTGACATCTTTTGTTTTGAAGATGTATTTGTTTTCGAACAAATATGGAAAGGGATAACGTGTAATTCTATCTAAAATTAATAGTTACTTTATGTGTAAGAAATATTGTATTTTTCAGGTGATGTTGGAAGGAAGAAGAGAAAAAATATGACTATGATTATGATTGTACCGGTGAGTAATAATATTATTTATTTCTTCAATAATTTGTGTATTTTAAAAACATTGCGATAAGAAAACTAAGCGTATATTAATAATGTGAGCGATGAAGACTACGTGCACTCGCCTTGTTTTCCTTGGCAACAATGGATTGTTTGCTCGGATGTCCCGAGACAAATACGCTGTTCCAAACCTAGTTGTAAAGGGACTCAGTGAGGTGCGCGACTGGGAGGACAGTATATTGCTTCTCTAGATATTTGGCTGTGGGCACAGTAGATATAGAACAAATATCACTTCTTTCTTACGGATACGTAGCTGTTTGTACCGACAGGGTGTGTCCATCGCAATAATTGTTACCTATGTAGTCTCTCAGAGCGGGAGGTCCTAAATTTCGAGTCCCGATGGTTGGCAGATTTTCAAAACACCGAGATAACATGGTGTCATAAATCGAATTCTACTCCGGACAGCGACTAAATTCTAGCGGCCGGCTGCTCGGATTTGCAGTTCTCCTTGGTTTCTCCAATCAATACAAGAGGCTTGCTGGAGCAGAAATGTAAAAATCGGTCCACGAACCACCGGCGATCTGAACTGCTTGCAACGATTCTGGAGTATTCAACTGTTAATTGTTCAACGAAAGCATTGGTAAGGAACTTATCAGGCGTATAAGTTTCAATGGGAAAGAATCACAATACAATCTAAGTCTTTAAACATTAAGAACACGTCATCTCATAAGGAGTTCTGCTTTATGTGCAATGTAACGCTTGGGGTTGGACACAAAAGATGAGGAAATGTTTGTGGAATTTTTGGTTTTGCTTTGCACTTTGAGTGAATATGCGTTGTTCATTGCTTTTTGTTGAGGTTATTCATTGCACGAGAGGGAAACGGTGCCTTGAGAGTGGAAATCATGTTTGTGAACACTCCTTCACCCAATGCGTCTGCGACCATCTTAGACCTATCAGTAGATATTACGATTTTAGTATTACAAGAGTTACCATCATAGTGAATCTAAGTAACAATGTTCTGCTGAGCTCGTAATCCTACGGAATGGTCGTGAAAAAAATGAATTACGTCAGGGAAATGCGGGAAAGTTTCCGTTCTGTATTAGTTGAGCACCCGGGCTTCGGTGTTCGTAGTAAATGAGCATGATGGAAGAAAGTGACCACATCTTGTAAAGCATCCGACTCATTGTCCCACCGCCTCATTCCGCGTGTGGAGGCAAACACCCGTTAACCTCCATTAAGGCGCTATCATTGCTGGCCACGGACGCACTCTCGCAGCTTCTGCCCCTTTTCGCGTGCAATTTTTGCGCAGCGGGGGAACCATGTCGCCACCGCTGCCGCAGCGACAGCCGTCGCCACTGCCATCAATGGCACCGCCACCCCTGGGGCGGCCCGGCTGGGCTCGATGAGTGTCGCATTAAATCGCGTCTGCCTTTGTGAGGGCCATCTGCCCCGCAGGCTGCCGCCGCTGCCGCCGTCGTCGCTTTCCCCCAACGCGCGGCTTCTGCC